GGTCGTTATATCATCCAATTTCTTCTTCGGCCCCACGATGCTCTCGTCTTGTCCCTGCTTGCTCATATGCTGCTACCGCAGTTTCCACTGCTGCAGTCTCCACTCCTGCACTTTCCACTGCTGCAGTGGCCACTGTTGCAGTTTCCACTGTTGCAGTCTCCATTCCGTAGTGTCCACTGCTGCAGTCTCCACTCTTGCAGTTTCCATTGCTGCAGTCTCCACTCTTGCAGTTTCCACCGCTGCAGTCTCCACTACTGCAGTCTCCACTCCTGCAGTTTGCACTGCTGCAGTGTTCAATGTTGCGGTTTCCACTGGTGCAGTGTCCACTGCTCCAGTTTCCACTGCTATAGTTTCCATTGCTCTAGTTTTCGTTACTGCAGTTTCTACTGCTGCCGTTTCCACTGCTGCAGTTTTCAGTACAGCAGGTTCCCTAACTGTAATCCCCCCTACGTTAGTTTTTACTGCTACAACTTCCTCTCCTGCAACTCCAATGGAAAGAACATCACAATCTCTCTGACGCTCACGTCCATTACTCCGAAATCTTGCCCAATCCAACCCCCTCTCATCTCTGTCTGTGCTTGGCCGTAGACGACTGCGTTCCTCCTCACCACCCCCATCTCCTCCACGGTCTCGCTTGCGAACAGACTCTCCAGTTTCCATTGTTCCCATTGTTTCACCTTCGTTGCTAGGGACAAGTGCATCTTCTAATTGCAACACCACTACTCTTGTTGTGTATCACCGACAACATTCGCGGCATCGTCACTTGTCCGGGGATCAGCAACTTGCTGCCCCGATTCTCTCTGTGCCTCCTCCACTGGTGCGGCATCGTCACTTGTCCGGGGATCAGCACCTGTTTCTTTGTCTGCCCCGATTCTCTTTGTGCCTCCTCCACAGGTTGTTGTGATTCCTTTGTTTCAAAGGGCAATATCTGCTCCTATGCCTCCTGCAGACAGTCCAGCTGCCTGCAGGCAGCCACGGTACCCTGCGGCGTTAGATATTCACGATTCACCTGCACAACACGGTGTGGTCCCTACTCAGAGTACACTCCCGACTCCAGGTACAGTCCCTACTCAGGATGCAGCCGCTGCCTAGAGTATACTCCCGACTCCAGGTAAAGTCCCTACTCAGGATGCAGCCCTAAACCTTGAGGGATTGGAACATGATCTGCCCGGATTGCAGTTGACCCCACAAGGCGTAGACCACATGGGGGATCTGCAAATGGCTGACCAGCATTGTTCGGATAAACCACAAAGTTGTGCTCCGCCACGAGCACACCACATGGGTGATCTGCAAATGACTGACCAACAAATAACCCAACACAGTTTGGGCTTGCAACACCATCTGGGTGATCTGCAAATTGTTGGCCAGCGTCCAAGAAACCAGCCTCAGAACCTTACCAATCTTTGTGGTATGACGACAACTAATATTTGTCTTCACATTCTCCACCGCCCATTTTATACACCATCAGACTTCCTTGCAATCGCCCTTCAGCTTGATGCTGATCTTCCCCAACTACAGTCAGAGGATGGTAATTATACCAGCGAAGAAGGCTTTACCATTGCTGTCCTGCAAGTAGCAATGAGGGACCGTTAACTTGAACTACGTAATGCTCGAGCAGGTGAGTAGTTTAATCCTCCATCCCACATCTGTGCCTGCATTATGCACGGCCCTGGCCATTACATGGCCATTGTACATGCCTCTGACCACTGGGAGCTGTGGGACAAAGGCATCATGGTCCATGCCATGATTGATGTCACTGATTTTTTACAAAATGATGCTGTTTTCTTGCCACAACAAACCGTCCGCAATCTCTTTTATGTTGAAGATCATTCCTCTGGCCCCATGCTGCAGCAAGACAATGTACCAACACTCTGCGACCTTCTCCTTTGCACAGCCACAAACACTGTTACACTTGGCTGTAGCCGCCATCGACTCTGTTATCACTACAATGCCATGGTTTCTGCATCCATGTGTGCAGAGGACTGTACCACCGTTCCTGACTGCAGGCACCCTCCGCATCCGGACACTATATGTCCATTTTGCGGTCATGGGCGCTATACTGAATGCATGCTCTTTTGTGGTGACTGTTCTTCCTTCATTCTGGCTTGCAATCGACATGCCATTTGTCGGGGGTGTATGGTGGGCATGCTCAATGCCAGCCATCATGGCAATTGTTGCACTGAGAATGCTCAGCTAGGTCTTCCTTGTGTTCATCCACCTCGTCCTTACAATGTATGTCCTCTTTGTCGTCAAGGACAGACTCATTCTTGAGCCTTTCTTATCCTCTTCTGCCTTCATCTTCACTCCACACTCCAATCTTTCCCTTTCTTTCCCTTACTTTCCCTTTATTGTTCTTTGTTTGTCTGCTCTCCATCTCTCCTCCCTGTGTTTATYCCCTCACCCTTCACTCTGCCTCTTTCTCACAGCGTACAAGTGGGATGGTATGGCACACGGGGATGCGGGCAGCTCGGGCTCAACTTCATCAACGTGGCGAGCCTTGTACATGAGAGGCACGGTGAAGGGGGAGTCAAAAGAAGAATGAGAAAAATGAATGGTTTCAGTGCCGGGATGGGCCGAACACCCGAACCCGAACGCCCGAACGTTTGGGACCCCCTCTCGACGTGTTCGGACGTTCGGCCGAACGCGGAACCAAAAAAAAAAAAAAAAAAAAAAAAAAAAAAAAAA